CTCTGCTTCGCAGCTCCGTTAGGAACGCCGTGCGCTCGCGACAATGGCTGGTGACCGCGCAACACAAGGGCCGCCGCACGTGAGCCTGGCCGCCCACCTCTTGGCCGAACGGAGGGGGCTCGAGATCGTGAGAGAAGAAGAGAACGCCTCTCGCATGCCATTGGCCTCCACATCGCCCGAACAACGGAAAGCAAGAAGCCCTGCCGTAGTTGATCGGGAAAACAAGTCCGCGATCTACATCGTTCGTGCTGTCCCCGAGACCAGGCCAGAAAACGGTCCAGGCGCAAGCGCAGGGGGAGGCGACGAGGAGCAAGGCACATTGCCTGCATCTTGCATGGACAATCCACTCTCGCAGCCGATCATGTAGTCTGTCATGTTTGACATCACGGCGTAACTCATCCACCACCAAGCGTAGGAAGGTGACGCGGGCGTGTCGCCCCTTACGGGGGGGGGCTCATGACCAGCTTGCCACCGCCGTGCCCCATATGTTCCCCGACAACGGCGTCGACCTCGAAGGGGGCGCCTTCGATCTGCAGGAGCGCCGTGGGCATCTCGATGGGGCTCTTGAGGTGCAAGGCGCGATCCTCCTGTTGAGTCGCCGCCAAGAATCCCTGCCGATGGCCATCTTCGTCGGGCGCAGGTACCCGCCCGAAAAACTTGAATGTGAGCCTGCTTTTCCAGGTCTGCCCTTGTTCGTCGCGCGTCGGGAAGGTGGTCGCTTCTTTGATCCACGTGGCCGCGGCATCTGGGCCTGCTGCCTCGATCGTGGCGACAGGCAGCTCGATCGCGCGCGTCATCTTGGAGCGTCTGGCCGAGGTGCCCTTGAACTGCCAGCCATCCAATGCGAAGAGAGCGGTGTCGGCCACGTGGGAGGCTGGCGAGCCGAAGTCCGTCTCTGGGTCCGCCTTGCGCGCCTTCACGAACTCCTGGTAGCCCTTACTGCCGTCGGCGACTATCTGGTGCTTGCGGTCTACGGTGGCCGCGGTCGTCTACTCGTGTTCGAGGTGCCGGGCTCTCGCTTCCAACTGTGCGATCAACGCCTTCATGGTGACGATGATTTCCTTATCTGGCTCGTCGCCGTCCATCTCAATGTCTGAGTCGATCCTGGCTGCCCTGCTCTTCGGGCCTCCTGCTGGGGCGCTCTGGGGCCAATCTCGAACCGACCGACCCCGCGGCCCCTCGCCTCCTGTTCCCCCTCGCCGGCCACGCTTGGATCCAAGGGGCTGCTGGGCCCCATCCGCTGCCCATGTCCTCTTCCAGCTGCGCTCTGCGGGTGGCAATTCCGCCCGAGACTCGCGACGCATTGCCGCGTGCCTCGGGCGCGCAGAAGTCAGACAACAGCAGCGGCGGAGCCTAGCGCCCCCAGGCATGATCGAGCCAAAGCAGCAGGTCATCGAACGATTCTTCGCATATCGGACACTCCATCGAACTCGGCGCGATAATGTTGCCCTCGAATCGCCCGCGATTTGCTGGGCATTCTGTCTGCGTAGGCTTGCATGCACGCGCTGTTCGGCTACGGGTGTGAACCGACACGTGCCATGATAGATGGGGCAGCTATGAGTTGTGGCCAAGATTCGCGCGATGCTCAGTATGCCGCGCGCGCCTCCGGTCTCGCTGGCGACGCGTCTCCATTGGGCGCGCTCGGGATGCCGCCGGCTTTCAGGCATCTCCCCGTCCTCCAGTAACTCCTGGCGCGCGAACTCCCCCCCATCACCCTGTCGCCCGTCTGGGGCAGGGGCCTGGGGGTAGGTGACCTATATCGCAAATCATCGCATCGACCCACTGAAAACCTCGAACTATTGTAAGAAAGTGCTGCTTGGACTCCCATCTCCAACATGCCACTCGCGCGTTCAATGTCACGAAGCGCGAAGGCGCCATTCTCGAGATGGCTCGCCCGTGGAGGAGCGCGAGCGCGCAGAGCTCTAAACTCGGCGCGCATGTCGCCATCTATCGGAGATCACCCGAAGCAATGGGCCGAAATGCGCCGGTTATTGTCGCGATCCGGGAACGCTCCCTGGAATTATTCGAACCATCTGATTCTGAATTCGAGAAACGAAGGCGCAACGCGCGACTTTCTGTAGACTACCTGGGCAGGGCAGTCGACAACGCACAAGGGCGACTCATCCCGCGCCGCTGTGCCTCCAAGTATCGCGCGTCCTTTGCGCGAGGGTCTCCAGCGCGAACAGATCGCCGCTGGCGAACGGCTCCATGCCTTCGACGATTGCCTCTAATCCGCTGAGCGCGGCGTTGTCAAGGATACCTTCGAGCATGCTTCCCCAGGCCCCAAAGTTGATGCGTTTGATCATCCAGGACTTGCCCAGGAAGAAGCAAAACGCACGCAGGTCCCGCATTCTTTTCGCAATTTCAAGGGCTGGCGTGAAAGTGCTAGATTGAAGTCCACCTTGATATCTAATATGGTGTATTGTTTCACATGCCATGTTGCTGCGTTGCTTGTGGATCAAACCGTTGACCGCGTGTGCTCCAGGACCCTTTATGCAGGCTGCGTCCTCGCTGTTGCTGGTTTTCTGCGATGCCCCGATGCCGTTCGTGCTTATGTCGACCAAGATGTTTCCGAGCTTGCTGCCTAGCACCAGCGTGCCTATCTAGTAGCGCATCCGGCTATGTTACTTTCTGGGATCTCGTCGGCGATCTCGTCTACGAAACCTGTCGGGGCCATCTGCTGGAGGCCCTCGGAGTCCCGGGGGGCGATCGCCTCTAATGCGCGACGCAGCTGCTCTAGCGCGCGCGCGCCGGCCATCTTCCCCACGGCGAGGGGGCCGACAGTGCGCGTGAACAAATGCGGGGCGCAGAAGTATCCAAGGAAAATGCCCTCGGAGTTCCTCCAGAAGTTCCCAGACTCGCCCTCTAGTCGAAGTACCCCTGCCGTGCATCTGTATTCGGCAAATTTCAGATCAGCTTTCGAATAATGACCGGGGGGGGGGGGGGGGGGGGGGGTCGCGCGCGCTGCATCATGTGCTAGGCAGAAACAAGAAAGTTCGCAGCGTCGCGATATCGGAGGGGTGCGACATGCCAGCGGCCTGGAGGCGATATGGCAACATCCAAAGAACGCCCATCGCAGATCTGGTCGCCTCTCGGCGGTCTCGCCGCGGCCTCCATGGCTTCACCCACGCATGAGCAATGGTCATTCTCAATGCTTCTGCGGGAATGCCCCAGGCGAGACAGCTCATCCAAAACTGCGATGTCCAGAAATATCGCGACGAAAGTTCCCAATATTTTGCCGAGAAGTACATGGCATCCGCATTATCTCGTTTGTCGCGCTGTTCGTCTCGCATCTCCTGTTCAATCTCGTCGATCGTAAATCTCTGCGGCAGAACGACCACCTTGCCTGGGGGCAGTGCCCCCCGAATGCTCCAGCCTCTGGCCGATGCCGCTGAAGATGGCGTAGCCGCGAACTTGCGTTAGCGAGGTCCTCGTTGTTTTCCTGCGACCGATCTGGCCAATAACTCAAAAAGATACCCGTCGCTTGACTTCGCGGCCTGGTTGAGCCCCTTCCACTCGGCGCCCCGCGATATTTGCTCACTGCTGTTTGGCCGCCCACTTCGAGGTTTTGCTGCTGTGCTGGATGGGTCACGATACCATCTGAAAGTGCTGCTCCATCAATGGGCCCGACCTCGCTCATCGAACAGCCGAATGTTACTCGACTGGCCGGATGCCTTCGGTGCGCGGTTCTGTGTAAAGGGGGCTCTTGTTAAATGCTGCGGCAAGCGCCTGATTCGCAATGTTTACGCACTCTCTATTGACTTGATCGATATGATCGATATCTCATCGCGCTTCCATCTCGATGGACCCGTCGTCCTTGACGCGCCAAGAATTACAATTTCCCCGAGAAGTTTTTGCCACTTGTATCCTTGCTGCAGACAGCAAACAAATGAGCTCCACAGTCAAGCCATTGCTCGTTGGCTGGCAGAGGCCGCGCAGACAAGTTGATGCGCACTGCTATCTGCAATGGGCGGTCATCTTGCGCTCGGTGTGTCGTGTAGCTGTAATGCTCGTCCCGCGGCGCACATGACCTGGCAATTTTCGAAACCTTGTCGCAGCTCCTGCGGTGCACAACCATGATCAATGTAAGACTCCGGGCTGTTATCAATTTGCGTGGGCTGGCGAAGAAAATGCTGGCTGCGCAAATACTCCATTCTGCCAAAACGGGACACAGCAGCATCGAAGCCGTGGGGTCTCGTTCGCATGCGCGAGGGCCTGCGATTCTATCTTCTGCGTAGCAATAAAAACCGCAATTCAAATCGGTAGCAGTCAAAAAACAACAGTCCGCCGCCGAGACATTGCCTGAAACACTCCAATCAACCAGTCGATCATGAGCTGCATCGTCTTCGTGCGCTTCGGCCGTGACGCTGGTGATGTCTGCCTGGGCGGGAAATGCATGCCAATAAATCCATGAAAGGGCCAATCCAGACTGCAATGCAATAGCTCCGCATCGTCCCCAACACTGCTTCGGGGTGTCATGCTTACGCTTGAGAGAGCTGCGAGGAAAGCTGGACCTTTCAAGAGAAACGTGATGCCGCTTGAGGGTAAGATCTAGGGCTCTTTCCTATATTTGGCTTCAACATTCCAATGTTTTTGAAGCGCTCGGATGTCGGTCGCGAGCTGTCCGAACGATCTTGCTTGCGTGCCAATCAAAGCGTGCACATCCTTCTTGGGTATGCAGCATTCTATGTCCAACAGACGATTGTGTTTCGCCGCACCGGAATTGTACAGCAGAAGCTGCCGTCACGGGCTCCGGATAACAGTGCATGCAGCCCGCATCTGCGTGCACGATACGCGATGTGCAAGAGGTGGCGAAGGTGTGGTGGTCGGGTCGGGAGCCACCTGGGATAGGAGGAGGAGGAGGAGGAGGAGGAGGAGGAGGAGGAGGAGGAGGAGGAGGAGGAGGAGGAGAAGGCGGAGGAGGAATAGGAGGCGAAGGGAGATGGGGGGGAGGGGGCGGACCAGGAGTAACTGTGCGCCTGCCCCGCCCCGCGCACAGCCTCATCTGCTCGGCGGGCACTATCTCGTCCCTCTCCCCGCTGAGCAAGCAGCACGCCCAGTCCTGGCAGCCGCGCGCGGGGGGGCATCCCCTGCTGTTTTTCCTCGCCGTTCCCGCAGGCAGCAGTCGTGGAGGCAGCGAGGGCGCAGCGGCCAGGTGCCCAGCTGGAGACTGCCACGCGTACCGCCACTTGTACTGCCCGCCAGCGCGATTTGATACTCTGAAAGCCCCGGGGCCCTGAATCTGCAGGATTCCTAGGTGCGCTTGAGACGGCCAGCAGACGGTTTTCAAGGCTCACGCGAAAGCAAAAAAAGGGCCCAAGAGGCGCCCAAGAGACCCCAAGATGGCACCCAAAGCGCCCACGAGCGTCCTAAGAGCGTTCCAAGAAGGGTCCAAGAGCAGATCTGTAGGGCGACGCTACTTGAACCACCCCCTTTTCTTTGATCGGTCTCCTCCAAGATGGTCCCCAAACGGCCCTGGAGGCTCCGAAGAGTGCCCGAAGAGAGCCCCAATACGCGCCCAGGAGGCCCCAAGAGGCACCCAAGAGGTCCCAAAGAGGTTCCCAAGACAAGAGACGCACGAAGAGACTCAGAACGGCAACCAAGAGGCCTCTGGCCTTTCTGCTCCCCCCCCTCCTCCACCTCCTCCTCCTCCTCCTCCTCCTCCTCCTCCTCCTCCTCCTCCTCCTCCTCCTCCTCCTCCTCTTCCTCCTCCGAATTACTCCTCCTCCTCCCCCTCCTCCTCCTTCTCTTCCTCATCCGTCCATGCCTCCTGTTCGTCCTCCTCGTCCTCCTCTTCCTTGTTCCCTGCTCCCTCCTCCCCCTCCTGATTTCCTTCTCCTCCTTCTCCGATTCCTCCTCCACGCTGCTCTTTTTAGGGCATCGTGGTTTCCCCAGCCTTTTGTTCCACTGCACGCTCCTCCCCACCCGAAATCAAGCCATAGCGCCTGGGAATCGTTTCTGGATGGGTTGTGGAGTTACTTTTTTGGTTTGCGGCTCCAAGGCGGGGGACAAGGAGCGGACACAACGTCCGGGGCGCGGTACGATGTAAATTGGCCGCAGTGGCGTATGCACACGCGAGGGACAAAATGCCCCTCATTGAGACGCAGACAGCGTCGGCAGGTGACCGGCCCAGACATCCCAGCAGGTGGGGAAGCTGTTGTGGAGTTACGCGAAACGCCAAGAAATTGTCGCGCGGCCTGATTTTTAAACCCCAAACCTGTTGGCGGAATCCTGTAAGACTCCGTTCGCGTGGGCGTGGGCGTAGGCTAGCGCACGGGTGTGTGCGTAGGCGTGGATGCGCGTGCGGGCGTGGGCGTGGGCGTGGGCGACGGTGTGGGCGCGGGTGCGGACGTGGGCGTGGGCGTGGGTGTGGGCGTGGGTGTTGGCGTGGGTGCTGGCCTGCTGCCTCGCCGCTAGGGCCAGGTCACCTGGAAGCGTTGTCGTCGTCGTCGTCAACAACAACAACAGCAGCAGAAACAACCATCAACTTAAGACTGTTCGCTAGTATCTGTTCGTGTGCTATCCAGCACGTGTATCCCACACCTTCAATGCGCGCCCTCTTCGTCTTCGATCGTAAGCCTTGGGGGGTATGTATATATGTGTATATATATACATATCTACATATATATGTACATATACACATATATATATATATATATATACATTACTTGCAACGTGTATTCCGTGCAGCCCCTGAAGCAGGGGAAACGAGCACGGATGGAAGGAGGGGACAACAAGGGAATGAGGAGGATGGAACACGAGAGACAGTGGAAGGACGGGGGGCACAACCAGAAAACACGTGGCACAACCAGACGGGGAAATCGGGCGGATCCCGAACAGGCGGGTCGGGAAGGCGGGCCCATGCGGCCAGGTCGAGCAGACGGGTTGCTGAAACGTGCGTCCTGCATGAGTGTTGAAGCGCGATTCCTAAACAAATCGTTTGGGAATGCACAGCAAGAGCGTGATTCCTGAGCGTTGGGGGCGCGACGTCTGAATCACTTGCGGGGGCGTCGCACGCGAGAGCGCGGTTCCTGTATAAATTGTGAGGGCGTCCCGCGCCCGAACGCGATTTTGGAATACATTGAGAGGAAATATCAAGCGGGAGCCGCTGTCGTTGTAAACCTTGGGCCAACAACCCCATTCTGAGACTCCACGAACTTTCCCGTGCAGAACAACGGGTGCGAGCCCCAGGAAGGGCACTTCAATTGCAAATCTACAGTGTGCCCAGGTGGAAGAGGGATCAACAAACATTTCTCTGGAAATGGGTGATCAACAACAACACCAACAACAATTGCAGCAACAGCAACAACAACAACAACAATCATTTAAGACTGGGGACACTCCGTTCTCACCAGTGCCAGGGTTTTCATAGGAGGCGGGCAATACCCCCACTTTGTGGGGGGGCCGGTTCAAGCTCTACCAAATTTCCAAACGACTCTTCGCCACCACCCACACCCAGCTTCCCGCCCTATGACGTTCGGACACTTCACTTCGTGGCATGCGGACGACCGTGGCTACTATTCAGGGCCCCGCGGCCGACGACGACGGCGTGCGCGCGCGAAGAAAAAACGAATGTGTCCCGCATGGTATTATTTGACAGGGATGATGGCCCTGGCAGGTGCGCAACCGTTGTCGCAGAAGTTCGAAAAAGTTGCTCGCAAAAGCCCGTTTGACAGAAATGTTTAAAAAGTGTTGGGTTTCCTACGAATCCGCAAGAGCGCGCGGGATGAGATTTTGACATTTTTTTGTTGAAAAACCATTGGTTTTTTGATGTTTTTATGTTAAAATCGCTGCGAACACTAAGGTTTTGGAAGGATTTCGTCTTGCGCGCGCGAATGTCCACTTTACCTTATTTTTTGCAAGGGATTCTTGAAATTTGATTATATTAGAACAAGAAATGTCATTTTCCATTGTTTTTTGCAAGGGAAAGCGGATTACAACAAAACAACCGGATCCTGTACACACCCTCTTTTCTGAGGCTTCCTCACGAAAATGATGAAAATGTAGCTGCGGCCTAGGCGGCGCAGGGGGGGCGCGCACCAGGGGGCCCAACAATAATTATTCTTTAGAATAAATCATGTTCAACAACAACAACAACAACAACAACAACAAGGTTAAGGCCGGCATGGCCCCCCCGGGGTGCGGGAGCGGATCCGCCGGTTCCACCACAGTGGAGAAGGCCGGCACTGCCCCCCCGGTCAGTCCGAAGGGGGGGGGGGGGGGGCGAACAACACAACACAACATCCTAGGGCATCCTTAGGGAATCCTTAGGGAATCTAGGGAATCCTAGGGAATCCTAGGGAATCCTTAGGGAATCCTTAGGGAATCCTTAGGGAATCCTTAGGGAATCCTTTAAAATCCGTAGGGGGTCCTGAGGGAATCCTTCAGAATCCCGAGGGACTCCTGGAGGAATCCTTAGGGAATCCTTCAGAATCCCTAAGGAAGCCTTTGGGAATCCTTCAGAATCCCTAGGGGCTCCTTAGGGAATCCTTAAGCATCCCTTGGGCATCCTTCACGAATCCTTAAGAATCCATGCGAAGTCCTCCGGGAATCCTCAAGAATCCCTAAATAATCTTTCAGAACCCCTAGGGAATCCTTAAGACTCGCTGGGGAATCCCTAGGGACTCCTAAAGCATCCCTGAGGAAGCCTTAAGAATCCCGAAGGAATCCTTCAAAATCCCAAAAGGAATTCCGAAGGAATCCTTCAGAGTCCCTAAGGAATTCTTCAGAATCCTTAGGGAATCCCTCGGGGATCCTTCAGAATCCTCAAGAAATCCTTACGAATCCCTAAGGAACCCTTGAGATTCCCTAAGGCGTCCCTAGGGAATCCTTAAGAATCCTTAAGGAAACCTTTCTGGGAATCCTGACGGAATCCTTACGGAATCCTCAAGGAATCATCAAGAATCCCTAAGAGATCCTCCGGGAATCCTTCAGAATCCGTAATGAATCCCTCGGGAATCCTTAAGAACCCCTAGGGCATCCTTCAGAATCCCTAAGGAATCCTCAGGGCATCCTTAAGAAGCCCTAGGGACTCCTTAGGAATCCTGAAGGAACCATTAGGAATCCTGAAGGAACCCTCAGGGAAACCTTAAGAATCCTTTGGGGATCCTGAAGGAATCCTCAAGGAATCCTCAGGGAATCCTTGAGAATCCTTAGGGAATCCTGAAGGAGTCCTCAGGGAATCTGTCGGAATCATTCGGGAATGCTTGGGAATCCCTAAGGAATCCTCAAGAATCCATAGGGCAACCTCAAGGAATCCTTCGGGAACCCAAGGAATCCTTAAGAGTCCCTTAGGAATCCTTCAGGAATCCTTCAGAATCCTTCAGGGAATCCAGAAAAGAATCCGTAGGGAATCCTCTGGGAAGCCTTAAGCATCCCTGAGGAATCCTTTGGGGATCCTCAGGGGATCCCTTAGATTCCCGAGTGAATCTTTAAGAATCCTCACGGTATCCTTAGGGAATCCTGAAGAACCCCTGAAGTATCCTTATGGAATCCTCAAGATCCCCTAGGTATGCTTGGGGACTGCTTAACACCCCCTAAGGTATCATTTGGGATTCCTTCAACATTCCGAAGGGGATCCCTAAGAATCCTCATGGAACCCTTAAGAATCCCTGAGGTATATGTAGTCTGGGTATGAGTTGTGGTACTCGACATACTAATGGAGGTGTAGCAGTCGTAGTAGTAGTAGTAGTAGTAGTAGTAGTAGTAGTAGTAGTAGTAGTAGTAGTAGTAGTAGTAGTAGTAGTAGTAGTAGTAGTAGTAGTAGTAGTAGTAGTAGTAGTAGTAGTAGTACAGTAGTAGTAGTAGTAGTAGTAGTAGTAGTAGTAGTAGTAGTAGTAGTAGTAGTAGTAGTAGTAGTAGTAGTAGTAGTAGTAGTAGTAGTAGTAGTAGTAGTAGTAGTAGTAGTAGTAGTAGTAGTAGTAGTAGTAGTAGTAGTAGTAGTAGTAGTAGTAGTAGTAGTAGTAGTAGTAGTAGTAGTAGTAGTAGTAGTAGTAGTAGCCCAAGAAATTAGTAGTAGTAGTAGTAGTACTAGACCTGGCAGCAGTGGGCGTACTACTACTA